CACAGAAAGTAACGGTAAGAGAGAAGCGGCAAATCGGTGTCGCCCAAGTCTATAAATGAGACTGCAGTTCATAGACATTTGTACCTCTGTACAAATAAATCCATTCAACAATAATAACTACATAAAAGCTCGTATTTTCATTCTCACACCTATATATAAAACTAATATCTCGTCACTTCATCCAAACATATTTTCATTTTATACACAAAAACCAAAACATTTCAAAATTCTCATTAGCAATTGTGAGAATGAAAAATCCCATTAGAATACCTTATTTATCCTTTTCTTTTTAAAACCAATTTTTCATGGGTTAAAATATTTCTTCAGATTCCTTCTTTCTTTTCTTTTCTTCCATATTTGCCCTTAATCGGGAAATCTTCTCAAATTCGAAGCAAACGAATAGAAGGGATATCTTAAGAGACTCCATTGATCATTTCATCAACTGCAACATTTTACTAACTACACTCCTCCAACAGGACTGATAACCATTAGCTGCATCCGATAAAAAACAAACATAATTTTACGTGTGCTTTTGGGATAAGAAAACATGTTATTAGAAAAAGAAGTCGAATCCGATAAATCATAATATTGCGCAGCAATTAAGTAAACCTGATCACACACAGCACATGTGTCGCTTCTTTCCATCCATTCAAGAATACAACCAAGGTGAAAATGATGGTCGCATTTAGTGATGATTTTAGGGTTCTCCGCATCATATTCTGTAAAGAGAGCAGACGAGTCATGCTCGAATAACCGAAAATTAAAATAATAAATATTAAAGTAAACATAAGCAGGTAGTTTTTATTGAACCTTCAAGACAAGTGGGGCAAATATCATCCTCATCTTGTAGTGGTGGAACGACGGATTTGCTGGACTTTTTAAGTTCATCATCCGAACTTTTGTCTTCCATTTCTTTCGATGTTTCCAACTTGCTATTTATTTCCGACTTTTCATCAGATTCTAGGTCCTTTGCCTTAATCTCAAACGTGCTCTCAGCGTTAGCGGCTTCAATAGACTCCACGTTAGTTGTTTCAGATACTGCTTCATTATTATTATATCCAGATCTTTCTCGATTGGTTGGTGGTGTTTGTGGGCGTCCTGCATAAGTTTCGTAAGGTATAGGTGCGGGAGGTGGTTGATATGTGTCTAAAAGAGAGGTGTCTAGATTTGTATCAACCAATAGCCCTGTCGATAGAGCGTCTACTGTTGTATGGTGAGGCGGTAATTCCGACACTGGATACTGCAAACGATGTCAGTAAATAAAATGTCACAGTAATATAAATCAGCAGAGATAATTACGCAATTGGAAACTATTTTCAGCAAAAGAAAACACAAACACACACACCAAATAGCCCTATTGTAAACAGATGAGAGAAAATGATTCATTCTCATTGATTTAATCCACCATACAATACATCTATATATGTATATATACAACTTAAGAAAGACTAAGTTAGGAAAGAATCAATCTAATTACAATCTATAACACCTATAAACATCAGTATCGAGAAGAAAAGATTTAGAATCATAATCTTGGTTCCACAGCTTTAGTCCTGGATCTGTTCCTAGTAATCTCGGCCAACGATTATAGTCGCAATTTCATAAATTTGGCAAGAGATTACAATGGGCTCCCAATATTTAGAAATAATTAAATTAACCCGCCCGTCATTAGTTAAGTTTGACCAACCCCACACGGATCAACAGGCAATTCGATTTCAGTTAACTGTAATGTTAACTCAACGTTAGCTAAAGAAGTGCTGCTTTCATCAAAATATTGACTTATCTTTTTCTTCCATTACACAAGTAAGCAGAATGAAAACAAAAGAAAAACCTAAGCAAAGCTTAACCGACAAGATATAGAACTCACATGAAAGAACGGTGTCGACCTATGAAGTTCGGTACTGGCAGATGCACAGCAGCAACAACCTCCCATCTCTATAGAATTATCTCTCTCATCTACCTGAAGCAGCAGCCGTAGCGATCATTGTTTCCCTTCTCTACAGAAAATATAACAAAACCGTCAATTAAAGAACCAATACAGTTTAATAATTGACAGCAATACACAGTCATGAAAATACTAAAATTACGTTTTTTTTTTCCTCGTTAACATTACCCTAAGCAGAATAAGGGAATCGATATCAACAAGAACGAAATGCACGATGAAATTGCTGGACACGCGCCTACACAGCCAGCCAGGAAGAATTTTCCGTATTTCATATATATATATATTCCAAAGGTTGAAAGTGGAAAACAACCATCGATTTGACTAAAGGGTTTGATCAATTTATAATAGTATAACAACTCCATAATTACTAGAGATAAACGAACTACAGAGCGGTTACAACACATTTGAAGTTCGATCGAGACCGAGCCCATTTTAACAGACGATCAAAATCAATCAGACACTAAAAATACCGAAAGAAATTGTTTGACTAATTAATCACATCTCATAGCAACTTAGATAAAAAAAAATAATAGAACTGTAATCTCTATTATTCCAAAATATCAATCATTAAACCCAATCAAACATAATTAACAACTCATTAAACCACAGAATAAGATTGAAATAACAAATTAGCTCCATAACGATAAATTAATAAATTTAAATAACCAGCACCATAATCATGGCAAATTTCCCACACATAAAAAAAAAAAAAAAAAAAAAAACCGCAGACACAGAATTTTCTATGGATTCAATTACATATCGAGATCTCGACAAAAATTCGCAGCCACAAACCATCTGTACAGTACTAAATAGAGGTAATCAAACAATTGAATTCGTCCGTCTTCAATAGAGGCAGTTCTATATATATACAGCGCGAGTATACTGTATATACACGCGCGCGCATACAAATATATGTATTTATACCGACACAAGATATACGTATAGGTGTGTGTATGTATACATACCTCTTTGCGGGGACTGAATTAGCAGAGATGCCACACTGCTGAAAGGACGACTGTGTGTGTGTGTGTGTGTGTGTGAGAGAGAGAGAGAAGAGTTGGAAATGCAACAATTTAATTAGATAACGCTTTCCACTAATAAAGTCTCGAGTAATATAAGTTTAAGGTTTGTTTGGTTAGTTTGTTAATTAATATAATAAAGTTTGAATAAATATATTTTGTTCAATAAGGTACGAGCTCGATTTTAAAAAAAATAATAATAAAATAGGAAATATAAAATTAAGTTATTTGAACTCCATTCATGTTTAATTCGATCGGCCTTCGTTCGAACTCGACTTTATTGCTTTATTAAATCAAGCTCAAACACGACTTTAGAAGCTCGTTAAAAGTTAGCTTAATTCCACTTTGCACTTTTGAAATATAATATTTTGACAATTTGCACCCCTAAAAAAATTAATAGCATTTTATTCCATTAAAATACAATAAAATTATGCACAATGCACCCCAAAATGATTTTGTAAGAGTTAATTAAGCATGTTTAAACTATTAATCTTTTTAGTGGTATTTTTTCAAGGGTCAAAATAGTAAATCAAAATATAATTTGCCTCCACCATTCAACCTAATTCAAATCGTATAAAGTGTAAAAAAAATTAACCAATCAAATTATTTGATAGGTATGTCTTTAATCTTTATTCGATTTGTTTTTCACCCATAAGTTTGCCACGTGGGCTGTGTAAAAAGTAAATCAAATGTTTGACATTGCACTAGAGTATTTTAAGTCTTAAGCGTAACTTTAAATTGTGATTTTGAAAATTATTTTTGGTTGGATAAATAAATTTTAAATAAGAACTTCAATCCACTATAATAAGTTGTTTAAACTTATTTGGATGATTTTATAGTAAACTTTACTTTAATTTTTAAGCACCTATTCAAGTTTATTGAAAGAATCAATGACATTAAATTCGTGATGGAAATGTAACGATGGAGTAAATTGTTGAATATAAGCAGTATCACAAGACTATTAAAGATCATTTCTTCTCGGGCGTGGCACTATTCCCGGAATGGACGTTTTACGGTAAGATCATGGTACCATAATACTTTGGCAAGTCGGTTGGTTGTGAGGGGCGACCTTGGGGGACAAGAATCGAGCAGCGGCGAAGTTCACAGGAAATGGGAAAAGATTTTGGGTCTCTCTTTACCCCCCAAAATTCGATCTTTCTTATGGAGGGCGTACTCAAACATATTACCAACGAGCGCCGAGTTGTTGTCGGGCGGAAAATTATCAGCTCACCTGCTTGCGCAGCCAATGTGGGAAAGATCGAGAGACATTGTTGCACATCATTCAAGAATGTAGGGGCATGGAAAAAAGCGCGGGCATCATATACTTTCAAGCTCAACAAAACAAAAAAAATCTTGTTAATGTGGCATCTCCGATCTGATTACTTGGCGCAAATTATATATGGAATCATGTCGGCAAGCGCAGTCAGCGTCAAGTGTGCTGAGAAAGACTATACACCCGTCGTCTTGGATCCCACCACCGGAAAGAACGGTCAAAATCAATTACGATGAAGCATTTTTTTTATGGCGAAGAGAGCATTATACAATGTCTATGGTCTCGCACGTGTAGCATCTAACTCCCCGGGCCCCAATAAGATTTTCAAATCCGCCAAAACCCTAAGATATTCACTCACCTCAACCTTGTACAACAAAATCATTGTGGGCCCTGAAAGAATTTATGGTCCCGAATTCGTTTAATACAGAGGTGTTGTTGAAGGTGTTATGACACTTGAACAAACAAGCAGCGGAAATATAAAGACAAAAGAACAATACTCAGAATTAAAAATGTTCACAAGTAAAGACTTGTGAACTTGCCCTTTACAGGACGGAAAATATATTAAAATCAGTATTCCAAGAATACAAACAGAAGAGTGCGAAAACTTCTTCCTTATGAGTGAATCTTTTTCAAGATCACTCTTACAACCAAATCTAGATACTAAAAGAAAGATATCAAAAATTCTAGATTTCAAAGAATGTACTTATAAATAGTACGTACAACAGATCCTAGAAAACACACTAAAATTCTCGAGATTAAAACTTCAGCTCTCTATTTTGTTTTCTCGAAATCTGTAATAATCTTGAGTCTTGAGTTTGATATTTATAGACTTGCCAAGCTTCCACTCTTCAGCCCATGATCTGCAAGAAAACCAACCACAAGAGCACTCAAGATAATGGGTTAGTGGGTTAGTTAGGAAGTTAAGATAAATCCCATAATTAATCCACTAAGCACTACTTAACCCTACTAAGCCCACTAACTAAGATTTAGTTTA